AATGGTGAGTCACATAGTTGTGGACGCATGCGCAGCGTTCAATATATGGCACAGCAGATGAACAGCGCATGCTCAGAAGGCGGTCCACAGCCAGCTGCAGCGGACGAAAATGGCAGCGCGCAAAAGCCGATTTTCGCGAAGGTCGAGAGGATCTGTAGATATTACCGTGTTACGACAAACTTGGGTGTGTTACTGGAAGTTCAAAGCGATGTCACACCGGTCATAAACATTTAAACTGTAAAAGGGAACTTTCTGCAAAGCGTGTACATTCTGTCGCGGAATCTCTGAACTGTCACCAAACGTTACGCAAAGGATCAGAACCATTTGGGTGTTCTGTGAACAGTATAATATTTTGGTCGTTGACCAACATATAGGGGATGTCGAAACACAAAGAATGATTCCAAGCATCTGGTAGTGGAGAAGCCAAAGCAGCCTCAATAACAGGAACAAAGGCCAGGCTCATCCTTAAGGTGAACAGTTGGCTGCACCAGAGCAATTGAATGAGTCTGCATGTACACTTGTAAATGCGCAACTGTACTACATGTGTCGGCTTGAGAAAAATGAAGGCGACGCTGGCCACGAATCTTAAAGACACTGCAGTCTCGAACAACCAAATTATTTTCGCGGGTCCTGGAGTCTCAAAAGTCAGTTGCACATTAGATCTTCGCACAGCATGTGTTTAGTCTGTCAGAGTCTGGCGGCATTGTTGGACGCTATATATGAGGAATTTTGTCAATTCCATTCAACTTCTAGTCTAAGGTATGTAACGTATATCGAAACCAGCATATCTCGAATACTCTATTAAATATACTCTATTTCAATACCTTTAGTAGTCTTTTGGGTATCTGGAAAATACGCCTGATTTGGGATATCTGATAAACTATCCTAATTACGTTTTTGCTATGTTACTCGTTATCTAAAATGCATTAAAGTTGTTTTCAACTTTCAAAGAAATATATATCGCAGGAATAATTTACGGGAGTAAGAACACGCAGCGCTTCTGGAGCAATGTAACACAGCTTGTTTTTATGAACTTTATTCGTATAGGATTAAGATACATATTATTTTTGTCCAGGAAAGAAAAAAAAAGATTGAAAAAAAAAACACTATTGACTGGAATAGATAGACACTCAGGAACTCGGCAAAGAGCGCTTAGCAATCGCTAGAGAACGCAAAAACTGTACACGAGAACGTGAATCCAGCGTCGTTAGAAAGACTGAGTGGCGACGACCGCCGTCTCACCGAGGCACGCTGTTTGAGGAAGCGTTATTTCGGTGCCCAAGCTCCGCGTCGCGCCATCCCATTTCCGAGACGCGGTCGAGTCGAGATCCCGGGCCGCAGTCCTTTCCCCCTCTTTCTCAGGGTCGGGGCCTTCAGAATAAACTCGCAGCTGTCGTGAGGGTCGGCGTCACCCTGGGGTCCCGTGCCGCTGGCGTTCAAGCGCCGCCGTGAAGCGCTAGAGACGCGCATATAGTACGGCGGGCATGTGTCGTCGTGTCGTCTTCTGAAAAAGGAGCATCGTTTCTGGCACTGGCTTGGAGTTTCTTTTTTGTTTTGTTTTGGTTTGTTTGCAAAGGCTCATCCGTAGAGCCACGCGTTATGTCGGCGTGACTTGTGGCGTAGTAGGATGTCGTCTTGAGGACCGAGACCCGAGGCCGGTGGCCCTTGGCGTCGTGGCACGCGACAGCTGCCAAGAGATCGTCCAAATGGCTGAGACTAGAACCACTCATGAGTTCGCGCTTGGGAGCAACGACACTGCAGCCTTCTTGCTGCTCAGAATCACTGTTGCCTGTAGCTTGACGGGAAATTTCAAGAAACGCTTTTCCTTCCTTCAGAAAAGTTTTGACACTTCGGGACAGAGAAAAACGATAGCTTCATTCTTTCTTGGACATCTACGCCTTGCGGATATCTAACAACTGAACAGGAAAAAACATCGCAATGTTCCGCGACAATATATTAGATGGCAGTCATACAATATCAATAAACAGTAATTACACTTTTGGACGCGTATAGTTTTTATTCCCCGGCTTTACTGTTTATTTACATTGAATCATACAGGTCAAATTGAAAAAATGATCACTTTCTGCTTTTTGTTCTCAAAATATTGCAATCTTTTCCAGGTATTATTTTCCTGAGTATCATAGAAAGATCATTTATAAGTTTTGTTATTTCCTCGAAAACTTCTTATTCCACGGAGTGTCCCAGAGAGTTGGCCCTGGGTATTTTCGAATGTGTACTATTTCCAATTGCACCTGCTCTGGTAACAAAATGGTGACACCTACAAGATGATCGGGGGTTCATGCTTAAGTATAGGTTGTTTAAAGGTTCTTGTGGAGACCTTGTGTGTACGATAATTACGAGGTAATTTTTTCTTTGATCCCGATTTAATAGAAAAATCGACCACGCATAAATGTAATCTTTTTTTTTTTTTCCTGCTTCGAGCCCATAGATTGAGTGATTACCTTAACTAGACTATCGCAGAAAGTGGTTCAGTGCCCCTTTAAGAACGTAGTCTTTTTCTCCATCTACGCTCGCGTTTAGATTCTCTCTTTTACTTACTAACCGCTCATTCACACTGGAAGCGGATCCGCGTTCGCGAAGCGGTTGCGAAAGCGGTTGTATAAAGATCCAGTGCAATTGCACGCGCATTTGATGTCATCGTGTGCGCGTGCAATTGTACTGAATCCTTATACAACCGCGTTCGCAACCGCTTTGCGAACGCGGATCCGCTTCCAGTGTGAATGAGCCCTTAGTTCGCTTCTTTCGTTCACTCGAGGACCGTAGTAAGAAAAAAAAAAAAAAAAAAGTCAGGCTTCTCGCGGAACGTTAGTAATTTCCCCTTTCGTGCGTTGAATTAAGATAAACGTAGCGGCATTTAAGAATTGCTGTAGATTACTTTATCGAGACGTATGCGTTTGGAACACCGAACGCTTCGTTTATTTCTTCGACAATCAAATCTTGCAAGAACTCTACTTCACGCAGCGCAGCAGTGATGCGCAAAACGTCCTTTTTTTCTAATGTGAGCACGAAACAGGGATAGCGTGGCCGTAGTGCTCAATTTTCGGCGTCGCCTAGACCCTCGCGCGGAACACAGATTGGATTTTAATTACCTACGTGGCTTAAAAGCCAATTATACTATGCCCTCGTTCACTTTTATTTGCATTACTGCTTATTGGTTTGGAAAACGACAACAAATATCAACCTCGAAAAACTACTAGGGTTCCAGAAATAATGCAATGCGAGTCATCGTGTCTCTTCGTTATAATAATCGCACATCGGCTTATTGCAAGAAATCTCGCTCGCTTTTTGTGCGTCAGTTATATAAGCTTGAACTGTACGCAAGTTATCTTTCGTTATCTAAAAACTGACACGGGGTCATTTCGCACCCAATTTTTTTTAAGAAATAGTCACTACACCTTAGAATGCGTGGAATATATGCTAGAGGACGAATGTGTACGAGCTATGCTAAACACACATTGACACGGCAAATTTCCCAACTTCTAGGCATGCATTGAAAATTGGGTTTGGTCTAGTTGGTCTATTACTGAATAAAATGTAAAAAAAAAAAAAAAACGCGAGCACATGGGGACAATGAAAAAACACGGACGACAGTACAGAAGCTTCCTGTCACCTGTGCTGGCAAGCGCCTGTCCCGTCGTCCGTATTTCTTCATTGTCCCCATTTGTTCGCGCTTTTCACACTTTTATTCAATTCTAATCACGCATTCTCAAATTCTGGATATTGCTGATTGGTCAACGGCTATCAGCTGCTAAGCCAATGACGCACCAGAATAAAAGTGCCGGATAGTGTCCCATTCAGCGTTCCTGATTGCTTCAGCCACGGTGACAGCAAACGCACAAAGACGACGAGGGCCGTGACGATGCACTTTTGCCGCTTCCTGATTGACTGCGCCGAATCGTCGTCTGCCGTCGGCCCCATCGTGGTACGGAGTATAGTGTACACCGACGCACAGTTTACAAACAAGCCCGTGTTTTGCCCTCACCTGGTCTGGGCATTGAGCGTTCGCAGAAGCCAGATCCGTACGAGGCAAAGCATCTGCGCATGCGCAGTGCTAGCAGCAGCGCCACCACAGTGGCTTGACGTCAAAGAGTTGAGTTGTTCGAACCCTTCCAATCGGAGGAGCTCTGACTTGACCGCACGCTTTCGTCCCCTCGTCTCCTTGAGTTTCTCTCCGTATGTACCCTTCCACTTGAGAAATTCAGGCAGGTGCCATCTTCAGAGTTCGTGCGTTTGGTGCGTGTTTCGTTTGCTTTCCAAACTTACGAACACGCGCGTGCTGGGTTCTGTATTTCTCAACATTGGAATGAGGCGTATATTTGGCTTCTCCCGTTGTGTGCTGCTTTGTCGAAGCTAGCGTGCTTTCCACGGCGCCGTCGAAGCTTCTTGCGTAGGTACACGCAAATCGGGCTCAAGACGAAGCCACGTGCTCGCGCAGCAGTGCGAAACTGCGGCGCCGTGGAAAGTGGGCTGCAGCCTCGACGGCGTAACTGGAGTGTTGTGTGTAGCATCGTGAATTTGGCACCGGGGATGCGCATATTTTCACGTGGCCTTCTCCATCCTTAATGGAAGAACTTCCAGTATGGGTAAAAACGCTTTGCTCCAGACATGCCATTGGAAGTCTTTCGCGTCTTAGCCGTAAAGCCGTATTCGAACTGCTTCTATATCATTCAAAAGACACGGTTTTCACTGCAGACATGATATCAGAATTATATGCGTACCCGCCTCCGACATATTCGTAGCATGTTTTCTTCAAACGTATACATGCTTCGAACACGTCTGCAGATGAGCTTTGTGTAATCAAAAATTTAAAACCGTCATACAAAAAAAAAAAAAAAAACAAGAAAAAACAAGAAAAAGGAAACACGCATCAGGTGGCGCCTGGAAACTATCTTATGTTTTACAGTTTGTCCGCGGATTCAGTATCTTGCAGTACCGATGTTGTAAACAGGTCCTCGTCTGTTTCTTCTCTGGCCTTCCAGTGTGGCGCCTGGCGAGCGCTGCCGAGGACAAGTGCTTCGTGGAGACCGCCATCCGGGAGACGCAGCTGTGCAGCAACGTGTTCAAGAAACACGTGACCGACAAGACCTTCAACGCCTCGGACCCCAAGGACCTCAAGGAGGCCTGCTGGTGAGAGGACGCCCTCTCTGATATCGCCTCTGTTGTGAAACGAACCCTAGCTTTGCAAAACGAACCGGAGAAATAGGCACACAGAAAGCTCGAACTTTCACCGAATGTACGTGTTCAGTAATCTTTGCGTTTACTTTATTCGGTGGTGCAATATAGAGACGCTACATTCAAATGAAAGTTTGAAGTCTCCCCGTTCGCGGGAGAACGTCCCTTTTCGATATGGTCCCCATCAGCGGCGATGCACTTCCGCCAACAGTGTGCTCTAGTCTCCGCATGCCGTCGAATGAGGGCGGCTGTTGAGGACACCGACGGCGCACTGCATTCGTGACCTCTTCGGCGGACGCCAACTCTACGCTTCGGGTGTTCCTTCATCTTGAGAAACAGCCAGAGGTCTGATGGCTTCTGGCTGTGGATCCTGGGTTCAATCCTCACCCCTGCCCATTTCGATCTGGATGAGTATTGTACCGGCGTGCGAACGTGTTTCACTGCTGCGTGGTGCAAGTGTAAGACTAGGCTAGCAGTCCTGTTCGGGCTAAATATGTCATCTACATCTGAGACACCAGACGTCCACTGGGGCTAACTCCGGCTTAAACGGGACGCAATCACTCATGAGCAAGGGTTTCGCGAACTTTTGTCGAAGCTCTATTTTGACGTCGAATCTCAAAGTGCGACTGGTTCGCTGAACCTTCGAACTTTCACTAAAGCCGAAGTGGTTCGACATGTGAACGGTGTTGCCCGGCTTCTACACGAATAATTTGAATTCTGGGAAACAAAGAATTTAGAAAGTCCTTTATTTTATATTTTATAAAATGGTTACAATGTTTACACCATATATAGGGGGAAATATGCTTTTTTAATGTTTTCGTTAGGTAGTAATGTGAGCCAGTCATGCCAATACACCCAGCAAACATTGCGGTTTTCCTCCGCCAGGTAGAGTCAACTGATTTTCTGATTTTCGTGCATGAGCACAAAAGTCGAACTTGAGTCGAACCTTTGTCAGTTATCACGTTGAAAGTGCAAAAAAGTCGAATTTGGTTGAACTCGAACCTGGGCAGGTTCGCGACACCCGCACCAGAGACCGAAGCTCTAGAACTATCCGTTTTCTTAATCGAAACCTATAAGTGAGTTTCTGAAAATTTCGATGGGAAAATGGTGCCCGTTTTCGATAACTGGCGCCAATCAGCTGCATGTATTTCAAAGCCCTGTCGGCAGCCATTTTCCCAATGAAAATGTTACAAAATCGCTAATATCTTTTGAATGAGATAGCGGTTAGTTTTGAAACTTTGTCATCAGGTTCGCTACATCTGGACTGAGAATCGGCGTTCGGCGATGCCTACTTAATTGTTGAAATGAAAACAAAAATCGGTATATTGTTTGGGGAACACCCTGTACGTTTAGGTAGGTGGATTGTACAGTCGCAGTCAAACTAAACTGGATCGGTCGACCGCGCGTGTTTTTCCCCGGGGCGCTAGCCTGTTGGCAGCCAGCGGTGCCTATAGACGCTTTGCAGCAGCTGTGCATGGACGACGCCATAACTGACCTTCAGTTTTTGTTTGCTCTTATTTTGTTTATTTCACTTCATCATTACCATAGCAGGCCAGGTTATTGTCATATTAGATTCAACTGTGTCCTTTTCTAAAGAATCGTCCTTTGTAGAGAATCGTCAACTACCGTTTCAGTTGCTCGGCATCTCGGTAAGACAAGAGAAGGTCGGCTATGGCGGCTGCAATTTGGCGCGTGTGTAAAGCGTCTATAGGAAGTATTCACTAGCGGCCATAGCTGTGTGCGCGAATGCTGAGCGCGTGCTGATGGCGAGCTTCGAGTTCTCTTGTGACGTACACTCCGCACCATCAAGAATGTCGGTCTCAGCAGCCTATTGATGTGAGCTCGTTCTGAGCATGCGCTTTAAACAGTACCCACAAATATGGCGCCCAGTGAATACCCCATATAGGTCAGGTGGCGGCGGGCCATTTTAGAGTGCGGGGGGAGCGCGGTAGGTTCTTAAATAAAATGCTTGAAAAAAATGACACGCACCGCTTGTTTTCCTTTTATTTTTGTGTTGTATTTATATTCTGCACCTTGCATTACACAGCTCATTTCCCGGTAAAAAAAATCATTAAGATAAAATAAAAATTGCCCTGATTATTCCGTATTCTTGACACAGCTTGTTTAGCGTTATCTGGGCCCGTTTCCTCGAAGCGCTAACCGCGGCTAAAGTTAGCCGCAGTACCTAGGAGAGGGATTTTGAGACCACGTGACTGGCTCGGTAGGGATGCGGGGAAACATGGCGGTGCCCCAGTGAGTGAGCGCCGGTCGCTTTGGAACTAATATGCCGTTGTAGCTGCAATATCGGGCGCGTTAGTCAGCAACGAATAATGCAGGAGGCTTTCGCTTTGCCTTACCTCACTTAAACCGCAAAGCATGGGCAATGACATCGCCGCATTTTTTAGATAGTGTTTCGATTCTGGGCATTACTAAGCCTAAATGAACGCGATAATTGTCGGCATGGCAACGTCTTTGGAAAGCGGATTGTTGATAGCACACAAAAGCAGACAGCGTCCCGACAGACTTTTTTTCTAAATTATCCAAGCATCGTGAGGAGAACGCTGGAAGTGTAATTCTACGGTTCACGCGCACTGGCCTTCCACTTATAAAAAATTTGAAGCAAAAAATCATAAGGCTTTAACGAACGCGCGTGCAAGGAAAAATTTGTTTTATACTTTTTTCTTTAGAACGGTTACTACTGCAGACGCCAGCACGCGCAACGCGTGCCACTACAGTCGTAGCATGCACCTCGGTGCTTGGATAATTTAGAAAATAGGTCTGTTGGGACGCCGTCTGCTTTTGTGTGCTATCAACAATCCCCTTTCCAAAGACGTTGCTATGCCGACAATTATCGCGTTCATTTAGGCTTAGGAGCGCCCAGAATCGAAACACTATCTAAAAAATGCGGCGATGTCATTGCCCATGCTTGGCGGTTTAAGTGAGGTAAGGCAAAGCGAAAGCCTCCTGCACCATTCGTTGCTGACTAACGCGCCCGATATTGCAATTACAACGACATATTAGTTCCAAAGCGAGCGGTGCTCACTCACTGGGGCACCGCCATGTTTCCCCGCATCCCCACCGGGCCAGTCACGTGATCTCAAAATCCCTCTCCTAGGTACTGCGGCTAACTTTAGCCGCGGTTAGTGGTTCGAGCAAACGGGCCCTGATGTGATACCCGACCGAGCTCAGAGTCTACCGTGCGACCCCCCCCCCCCCCCCCTTTCCCTCTCCCTTTCCCTCCGAAATGGGCTCGCCGTCACGTGACCAATTGATACCATTGGATGTCGCCGCGCTAACGCCCCACGAAACAAAAGAAAAAAAATGAAAAGAACGCTCGCTCGAGCGTCCCATTTAAGCTTGACAGCGACTGTACCTTGTGAATTTAAAGAAAGAAAAAAGAAATAGCTCCCTTCCTCTCGAAAAAAAAACAAAAAAAAAACAGTTAGGCTAAGAAATATCTTAGGGTGAACGGCTAACGTGTGCGCGGGCGCATCGAACAGACGACTGCTGTCGGCTCGTTGTTCCGTTTTCTTGTCGGTACTCGAACGTGCTCCCAGTCTTTAGATCACGTGCATGTTCGCCGTAAGTTGGGGAGCTTTATGGTTGTTCAACATGAACCAAACGCCGATTTTTCTTGGTCACTAAAAATAGCACCGAAAAACAGAATATGGGACAGTAAAGGCCCTGTCACTCTGAGGCAACACGACAGCAACACAACACGCTGTCCAACAGTCGGGAAACTTGTCCAACAGATGGGCAAGTCCAACAAACCTGTCACATCGATGCAACAACGGCGCAACATGGACGACAGCGGAAATGTTGCCTCGGCATGACATCTTTCGGCAACAAAAACAGCCGCAACTTGTGTTGGACAACGTTTGTTGCCCTAATCGTTAGCTGGGCGAATTTCGGGCCGGCTACACGACAACACAGATAGCTTCGATGTCAGAGCTAGTTCCTTCTCAATAACGTCTTACTCAAATAAAGGCTTGGAAAACGTTATTTAACAATAATTAAGGCTGCGCGCAGCTAAAATAAGTATATGAATGCTTTTACTGCCTATTTACAGAAAGCGATTGTCGAAATGGTCACAGCTACGGGTCGTGAACGTTCAGACTGGTGTTGAAACTAGAACTCACGAGAGACCAGCTCACATTATTGCTAGTGAAATAAACTGGCATGTGTACTCACACGCGGATGAAGTATAATAATAATAATCCGGGAGAGGCAAAGATTAAAAAAGTCGAAGTATTAAAACGACCACTCTGATCATGATTATTGATACTTGGAACTTGGCTACAACCGCCAGCAGACACCTGATTGGTTTAAAAAGAAAATGCCCAGGACGTTTAAACAGCTTTGAAAAATATCTATTACGCCGATTGTTATTCCTAAGGCCGAACGTGTCGGGGTAGCAGTTTTTAAGAACTGTCAGTTGAGCTCGACACCACGCTACAAAAGACGCTCCGGAGAACTCAATTTTACAGTAAAAATAGGAATTGCATAAAAGAAAGAACCGGATAGAAACACTTCATACGGTGGCGTAAATCCCAAACATATATCAGCGATCTCACTTTCCTCGGTTAGGGCTCTCTGCTTTGTCATCGAATGAAGAACGGTTTTCTGATCACAGTCACTGGTTGATATCGTCCCGTGGCAATTTCCGGCCCTTCGAACGCACTAACACTTTGTAGAGTCACATTTCCAGCCGCGCCGTGCCGCACCGCACACGAACGAAGGTAAACTATAAAAATAGCGGAGTGTTCCCTGTGTTGTCCCCGCCGTTAGAGCGGTGTGACGGGGTTGTCGGACAACAAATCATACATCACGGTAACCGGGCGGCAGCAACATGTTGGCCTACTGTTGCCGTGGCCGCTATGTGACAGGACACGACTTCCTTGTGTTGCCGGATGTGCCTCATTCACACTGGCGGTTGAACCGCATTCGCGAAGCGGTTGCGACGCGGTTGCTTAAAGGTTTAGTGCAGTTTCACGCACATTTGATGGTGAAAACGAGAGGATCCGCTTCGCGGTTGCGATCGGAACGCTAGTGTGAATGCGGCAATAGAGTTGTCCAACTATTGCCTCAGTGTGACAGGGCCCTATAAGCAAACCCCGACAACAAGGAACCCTAAAGCCACGGTCACACCGCGAGCGCATCGTACGAAAGGGAGTCTACAGGCATTGGCTGAGGCAGCTTTCTTCCTCGTAACATTGTTCGGGCGAAAACTGTATATAGGGAGTATTCACTGGACGCCATATTTGTGGGCGCTTTTAGAGAGCGCATGCTCAGAACGAGCTCACATCAATAGGCTGCTAAGACCGGCACTCTTGATGGTGCGGAATACACGTTGCAAAAGAACTGTGGAAGCTGGCCGTCAGCACGCGTTCAGCATTCGCGCACACAGCTATGGCCGCCAGTGAATACTCCCTATAGGCATGATCGAAGTACGCGCGTTTAAGGAAGCTTCGAAAATCCGTGATGTGCAGCGAAGGTCTTTGGTGGGGTGTATGAGCAGGGTGACTTCTGCTCTAAACCTGCTTTGCACACACGCCTTTTTGCGACCCAGCCCGTCGCGCATCAATGAGCTGCCTCACAATCGCTTACGACCAGCGAACACACCATGGCACGCTTGCTCCATCTATCAGGTAGTCCTCGAACTACATCTGTAGCTAGAGTTAAGGTTTTGCAGTATTTGTCAACTCAAATGTGCGCACAATTTATGAGAAGCGATCGTTTATAAGATCATCAAATCGTTTTGAAAGCGGTCATACTTTTAATGCATAATAGAAGAAAAAAAGTGAAGGCCGTTTACAACTCCCTGTAACGCCAAATTAGAGCGCAGCTCTTGAGGAGGAGGAGGGAAGGGTACGGGGGGCGTCAACTGACCGGGGGGGGGAGGTCACGTGACCTTTGGGGCGTCACGTGACCTGGGGGTCACGTGACGATGACAATGCCGATGCGGTCATCAGTGACGTCACTGATGACGTCATCAGTCACGATGACGATGCGGATACCTATGACGTCATTAGTGACGCCACTGAGGACTTCATCAGTGACGATGACGATGCGGATTCGGCGACGTGATCAGTGACGTCACTGATGACGTCATCAGTGATAATGACCATGCGGATGCCGGTGACGTTATCAGTGACGTCACTGATGACGTCATCAGTGATGATGACGATGCGGATGTCGTTTTCGTCATCAGTGACGTCACTGGTGACGTCATCAGTGATGATGACGATGCGGATGTCGTTGACGTCGTCAGTGACGTCACTGATGACGTCACCAGTGATTATGACGATGACGATGTGGATGCTGGTGACGTCATCAGTGACGTCACTGATGACATTATCAGTGATGAGGACGATGACAATGCGGATGCCGGTGACGTCATCAGAGATGTCACTGATGACGTGATCAGTGATGATGACGATGCGGATGCCGGTGACGTCATCAAGGACGATAACGTCATCGGGGGTCACGTGCCGCCCCCCCCCCCCCGTGGTCACGTGACCCCGAGGGGGGGGGCTCGCGCGGTGCATTATGGGACTTTGCCCATAATGCACCGCGCGGTTACGCCGACGGCGCCGCCGACGCCGCTCAAGCCGGAAACGGGCGCCTAAGAGCTGCGCTCTAAAACTGTCTGCAGAAAATGTCGGGGGAAACTTTTACGACGATCCCTTAGTAACATAAAGCTTGTGTTCGAAGCACCTTCGAAGCAAGCATGCTTCGACGATGCTTGCGGACATGCCCGCAGGAAATTCTGCGATCATGTCTGCAGTGGACACCGTGTCCTTCGCATGATATAGGAGTTGCAGTCTTGCGCGCTTCTACAGGTAATCAATCACTTGTAATCTGTTAGTTTTTAGATGAATCTTGTGATTATTCGATTAGTTTAATTACGTGGCAATCGGGAAAGTAAGTTAATTACCTTTTCGAAGTACTAAAATTATTTTGCGACCGTTACTAATCTTGCCCACCCTTTTTAATGGCGCTGTCTGTTTCTGCAAGTTCTCGTTTCAAGGAATCATCGAACCGTATGCCTCCGACAGGAGGAGGGTCTAACGAAATTAGTGGGTCGGGCAGAGACGTAGCTGACAATTTGGTGATTCTAATCTAATACTGGACAGTACGAAAGGCCCGTTTTTCATACCAGTGGAAGATCTTTGTGTTTGAAAAAGTGAAGTAGTCGGGAAACGAGACTTTTACTTTTTCCTTTAATGGTCCATTCATTTTCGTCTAACATAAATCAGTAATCTAATTGAATACGTTTTAACCACTAGTTATTGTAGTAGTAATTGATTACTGTTCTTGAGTTACATGTACAACACTGGGCAGTGGGAGTACGGCTTAAGTACGTAAACCTGGCGTTACTATGGACGTTGTTCTGCGCAGCGGAGCACTTACTCCTCCCTGTGGACCTGGAGTGATTATGGTCGTTCTGTTTCAGCTCCGTGGACCGTCTGGAGCGGTGCTTCCAGGCGGCCGCCTTCAACTCGGGCTGCAAGGAGGAAGTGAGCGTGCTCGTGTCGTCTCTGATCAACGTGGCCCGGAACCTTCTGGGCAACGTATACAAGACCAAGTGCAAGTACTACAACTGCAACTCCGCCGCGGCGCCGTCGTCGTCTGCCCTAGCCCTGCTGCCGCTCCTGGCGTTGACACTCTTCAACAACATGCGCGCCTTATAGCGGGACACCCGGTAACCTCACCCACGTGACGGGTCGTGGCTTCGGACGGTCTCATCACGGGGTTGCGGACGTGTCTCGCAAGCGGCCGGGTGTGTCGCCCTGTGCTCAAGTACTTTTTCGGAGTCGGATGTTGCGGCAAGCAATATGGCGGGTGATTCTTCTTGCTGTGGTGGTGCGTGCGGGCGCGTGGACTCCTTCCGCGCAGTCTGATGTCGTCATGTACTTCAGCGGAACGGTTTGATGACGTCAAGTACTTTTTCCGCATGGCTCTGATGACGTCATGGGGTCTCCAGCGTGGATTCGTCCAGACGAGGGTGCTTGTTGGATGGTTAAGTGACGTCAACGCCTCTTTGATGTAGCTCCGATCTGGGAGTCGAACACGTTGATGGTGACGATCGAAGCACAATCTCGCGCTGAGGACTGATCAGTTGGACCTATTGGCGCTGAAGTTTGGATTCTTTTTTCTTCTTTTATTTTTGATTTTGTAGAACTCTGTAGGTCCTAATTCTCAGTCTAAATAATTTAGGATCATCTTCTAGCTGTGACGTGAATGTTAAGCTTGGGCGCTCCTCGAAGAATGCGCCTGTTGTTCTGACGCTCTGGTGACGCTCGCTGAAACGACGCAAAGAGATCCCAGAGCGTTAACTGGAATAACGTTGTTCATTTACAGTGTGTTTTGTATGGATCAGTTTTGTTATTGTGCACTCACCGCTGTGTCACACTTGAAGATCAGTTCGGGCCAATTGTCCTCTTCAGAAAGGGTGCAAACGGTCACGTTAAAAATATCATTCAAGAATGATCTACATTACATGCAGATCAAACGGTCTGGCTATCGTCCCCCGCCCTCTAGTAAGCAAACTAAAATGCTCAATATTCGTCATTTGCTTCGTTGCCTGGCAAGGCAAGCCTTTCGTTATCGTTTGTTTGTTCTCCAAACACTTGTGTTTTTATTTTTGGCAGGATCAGACTCGTGAACTCCTCACAGTCAAGAGTTACATATTGTGTTATTGTACGAGTGAACTACAAGAAAAAGTATACTTAATAAGAGAAACATTTAAGAGGGCGGTTAGGTGGCAGCGCGAGGGAGTGTATGCATACTGGCGGGCTCCATTTAAAACTTACCTTCGTTCAAGTCTTCCCCCCTCTCCCCCAAATCTAGTTCGCACAAACCTTCAACTTGGCAAAGTAAAAAAAAAAAAAAGATGTTGCTGTGAAGATTAGTTATTGGATTGTTTATTTCGGCGCAGAGGGAGAGGGAGAAGCGAGGAGAAACAAGTAGTACAACTATAATCACTGAAAAGGTCAGAACGGCAGGGACGGACGTCAGTTGCCCCGGCTCCAGCGGCAGCTTTCTACCTTCGACAGTGCTTCGGCGTCTCGGGCACTTGGAGTGCGTAGACAAAGCACAGCGGAAGGCAGGAAGCGCGTGCCAGAGGCTGGGCGGTCGAAAGACACGCCCTGCCCTTCTCATTCCGTCAGTGACTATAAGTGTGTGTATTCGGGAATAGTTTCGCAGCGGCTCGCAGAGTGGCGCTCCATACGTGGCGTTGCCTCGCGTTCTGTGTGGTTCATGCTCCGTACGTCTTCCGTATCGAGTAATGCAATATTGTCTTGCCGAATAATGAGCTACAACCTTCCATCACGTGTTACATTCACGTATATGAAACGCAAGATGGATGGAGCACGCGTGCAGTGTTGAGCGGGAAACCTGGCGCCATCTGGTGAACCGGTGTCACTAGATAAAAATACGCCAGTAAGTGGGGAGGCCTCTTTGCATTCTCTCCTCTTCCGAAGCGTGAGCGCTTTGATTCTGACCACCTTGTTGCAGTGCGGGGGTGGGGAGTGGATACAACAAACCAACTGGGTTGGTTCCATCCGAGTATAACAATGCAGCGGAGGTGTTTTCTCCGAATGAGTGTGAATGTAAAGAAGGAAGTACTTGTTGATTTTGTAATGTCGTGTTTATTTTTATTTGAAAAAGCCTCACTTAAAAAAAAAAGCAGGTCGTGTTTTTTATGGCCTCTTCTTTTTTTCTCGCAAAGTCCTCAATCGTCGTACCTTTTAGGAAGAGAGTGCTTATTCACTGAATACACCAAAGATTTCGATCGAGAGAGTTTCAAGAGTTATAACTTGTCTACGTGTACCACCTCTCTTCGTGGGGAAATCGTGTTGCTTCGAAATGAAATTAAGAAACAAATATTTTGCGGGTGTTGTGTCGGAGCGTGTGTTACGATGATTCGCCCGATCAGGAAGTGGCTCTAGGGAGATGTTACTGTTGCCTGTAGTTTGCTCACAGTCTCTTGCGCTCACCCCGACGTTACTTATCTATACTATATACTTATGTTTTTATGCTCTTTTCGTATTATTTAGAGAAGAAAGGGCGATGCATTGCCTTCCGACTTGGGCCCACGTGATCAGAATGATTTACGGCTTGAGAGATTTCACAGCTGATTGTCTTCTTGTGAGTTTTGTGTTACTTTTTTTGTTTCCTGAGATCGATACCTCTTTCACATGTTTCTTCTTTTTTTTCTCTGGGTACTGCGATTGTTGCAAACATTAAACCTGCCGATGAGTTGTCTTTTTTGAACGCTGTCCGCGACTGTTTTTTCTTTTTACAGTGGAGCTGTTAATGGCTACTTTCCCCAGCATCGTGTCCGTCAGCAAATAAGTGTCGACTCAACCCTCCGGACAGCTACCGGCATCTATGATCGACGACGGCAACCAAACAACCGGCATGCCGGTTGTCTGGTTTCCACCGTCGCTCATAGATGGCGGCAACCTCTCCAGCCTTTCCGCTCCGGCTTTCCGACTTGGGGCCGGCCATTTCTTCATTCCCACCATAGTACAGTTTCGCTGGTCTTCCTTCTTCACCAGAGGGGAAAGGCTGAACGTTTTTTTTTTTTACTTGTTCAACTTTGGTCTTTCGTTAGAGGAAGTAACAGCGCGAAAGGTCCAGGGCAAAGCGGAAGAGTCGCACAGATAGACGCACACCACCGCGGGGATCTGAGCTGAAATCTCGTGGCGAGAAACTCCACGAGATTTCTGATCGCCGCGATTTGCCAACGCCAAGGTCTAGCCCGGTGCTGGCCAATCACGGCCGGCGGTCAGAAATCTCGCCGACGTACTCGCCGTGAATCCAGCATAGGGTTCGTCTTTCTGTGTGTACCCCCCTGGCGTCATGATACACTTTTGCTCTGTTTCTACCCATACGATGGCTATATTACTGTTTTATAAGTGACAGTACGGATCTGATGCGAATCACCTCTCAGTCGCGTGTTGTCCGCAACTCGATGAATCGATTCATAGCATGAAGGTTGCAAGCGTCTGGAGGCGGCATGACGACACCAGAGGTGAAGCGAAAAGCGAGGAAGGCCACGCCCCCAACGATGACCAAAACCATGATTATGAACCATGACGTCATCGTTTGTGGATCACCGACCCGACACCGGCACGATCACCGACACCCAGGAAGGAAGCAAGATCTTGGCACAGGCGGAGCACCGGTTGGTAAGCGCCAGGATTCACGAGTGCCACTCCATCCTAAGGAGGAAAGAACTAGACCTGGTACTTCACGCGTCGGCAGCTTGAACATCGCATCCCCGGTGTGCTCCCGTCGTTGCAGTCGTTCGCTTCCAGCATCGCCTCGGGTACTAGAGGAAAACGACAGGCATCTCAAGAAGAGAAGCTTTCTAAGCTATGAAACAAAAGACCCAGAAAGGGAAGGCACTGACACTGCCAGTTTTGTCACGAACCTGTCTTCAAGACTGCTCCTCCAAGATTAAAGTCTTGGGAAAAGGCCACCTCTTCAACGTGATTATGACCCGGCCCCCTCTGCCAAAAATGGTTGCCGAGGTGGAGGACGGTATTGCGCGCCTAGAGCTTAGCGTCCGGAATGGTCTACGACTTAAAGCGACAGGCATCATTTCAAAACCTCCGCCGAGGCAACTCCACAATCTATCTCGCGATGAAACTGGTGCGCTTCGGAAGCTCCGCGAGGATACAGAGATTGTGCTACCGCCGGCAGATAAAGGAAAATCGACCATCGTCAAGGACCGGGAGGGGTACGAACAGAAGGCACGGGATCTTCTTGACAGTCCGGCCTTTGAAAAGCTCAAGAAAGATCCAGCATCCCAAGTTCAACGGAACATGAACAAGATGTTGTCTGACATTTTCAACCAATACCAAGAGTTGAAAGACCTTTAATTGCATATCATCTGCAGGAGTGGCTCTGCGCCAAGCTTCCACGGACTACCCAAGACCCACAAACCTAACGTCCCTTTGCTGCGACCTATCGTTGACTTCACGACCTCACCGCTCCGAGCTCTCTGATTACATTCGCGATCATAACGTTCTTCAGCAAAATTAACATTGCCTTGAAAGGAAGAAGATTTGCTGACATTTCTGACATCCAGCGCAACGCGACAATGTAAGTACTTCGAGGTATTTTGGAAAGCGAACACCGACAACGTATCGGGCAATGACACCATCGTCTTACGATGTGCATAGCTCCTCAAGGGGAGCACTAGAAAGTGTAGCGAACCCAGGGTCGTCCTTGTTGTCGGGCTACGCCGGAGCCACGCGCCGACCAGAACATCGGGAAGAAGGGTCTCGCAAGCAGGGTGGGTTTTCGATAGAAGTTTAATTTACATTTGTACAGGTACTAAACCCAAGCAGGAAGATCCCCTCTCGCAGAAGTTTGCTTCTTTTATAGGCACGAACCTTCTCGAGTCGGCTCCGTAGGCGCTTCCCTCCCACGAACAAACCCAGCCCCCAACCACACACGTAGACAGGGAGGAGAGAGTGTCAGCGGTAGCTTGTTCGGCTTCTTGGTCCGAGTATGAAGGAGCGGCCGTGGACCTTGTCCGGCTTGTTGGTCCGAGCACGAAGAAGCGGCCGTGGACAGGTATTAGGGAAGGCTGGCTGAGCGGCTGGCTCGGTGGTCTTTAAGGCTGGGAACGGGCAAGGACGGACATCCCCATCTGCAGGCTTCAAGAAGGGTATGGTTGGTTATAAATCAAGAAGGTAGGAGAAGCTCCTCCCCCAAGCGTGACGCGCCGGTTTCAAATCCCTCCGCAGTCAAAAGAAATGTTCACTGGAAACGCTCCTTGTTCCTCTTCAATGGATAGATATTTGCTACAGAGTGATGCCAACTTGTCTCCGATCCCACTTTTTAAGAAATGCGACCTTTGGATTCATCGGAGGGAGAACCGAGCCGCTGAAAGCAGCCGTTGTATTCATCGGAGCTGGAACCTAATCCCCGAAAGTCGCATTTCTTTCCATCGGAAGGGGAAAACTCTAATCTCGCTCTCGTGGCTTCTACAATGCTAACCTTCCTCGAAAGATAGAGCAAATATGTACAGAAAGGCAAGACCCTCCTCGCGCGTTGGTCGCGAAGTCACGGAAACGATAGGACGCTATTGGATGCGGAGGTGGCGGAGGGATATATGATTCCCTTTGAGGGGCATTTGCCGCTACCTTCTTGACTTGTAACCTATAGAAGTCATCCCGGACGTGGCTCGTCTGGCTCGCTGAGCTGACAGCGAACGGATAACCATGGAGGAAAGAATTGGCCGAAGTGGTCGGTTAATTACAAAGGCGACAAAATGACAACAACCGCTAGTGCACAGGTAAGAAAAATGTCATTTTACAGTGCCTTTTCGGGAATTGAATTGTCGCACAGCCCGTACATTGTTGGCTCCGCAACATCGGCTTCATGCGTGAGCGGTGGGAACTATAAGCTCGCTGTTGATAAATTTTCTTACTTAACTAGACGTGGGTAATAGGCGGGACACCACATTGAACCTGTTTCAGTCTTGTGTTCAACGGCGTTACAAGAAACGACGCTCATGAAATTTGTTTTAGGAGGAACGCTCCTCCAAAGCAGCTGCTTTGGAGGAACGTTTATACAAAGCTGCCTCCATGGCCCTTTCATGGGGAGTAGGAAGGGGCAATCATTCTTTAACTGGCTCAGAATGCCATTGATCGCTACGATTATACCCTGCTTTAGGTTAAGGAAAGCAAGACAAGCTAATTCCGCAAAACCCTAGATTCTTCCCACTTTAAGAGAGCGAACGCTGGAGAGGTTGCGAGCAAGGACTCGCTTCCTCTCAAGGGTTCGCTCTGCTAAACTGGAAAGAGGGGAGGGCTTTGCAGGGGAGCTTGTCCCGCTTTCCTTCACCTAGAGCGGGGTATGCATCGTCCACTCCTAGGCTGGTGGTGCGGTGGAATCTACTCCCTCGTCAAACCAGTTATTAGTCAGCTTTAATGCGTCCGCGTTATACCTCGTCTCACTAAAACCGTGCAGTACAGCCAAACCTACAGGGGAGAGAGTGTATCTGGACCTGTTTAAGAGGAGGGAAAGGAGGAACGGGTGAGAAGGGCTGGGATTCCCCCGTTCCTCCTTTCCCTCCTCTTGAACAGGAAGGCATACACTCTCTCCCCTGAAAATTTGGCTGTACTGCACGGTTTTAAAGGGATACTTCGATAAATATTTGAAATATTACCGTCGTGTTCAAAAATAGGTTGAATATGATCCACAATATCTGTAAATGACAATGGCACGTTTGTATTTTGATCCTGGTGGCTGTATTTTTCGTTATAAACGGCCCACTCTGGCAAGCGCTCGGAGAAGGCCCAGCTTAGAGCACGTGACATCCAACGCAATCGTGACGTAGGTCGTCTCAAGACGAGCAAAGCTACGGCGAGGCTGACGTCGAGAGGATGGCCTAGTCGTTCCAGCCGCCGAAGCGGCTGCTTTTGTACGAATTTTGAGTGACGGGTTAATCTTCTATAATCTTCTAGGGGGACAATAGCGACTTCTGCGACACACAAAAGGGATTCTCGGGAAGAGGGGAGTTCCTCCTTCCCCCCTTCTCTCGTCGTGGCCGGAGACGAGACAACCTCCGTCACTAGCTGTCAAGGTTCCTAGACGAGCATTACAAACGAGGCGTTAACGACATCCACCAGGTGCTCTTTGCTAATCGTTTAATTCGTTTTAAAATTCCTTTTCTAGACTTTTTAACAAGATATTGGTATGTTCCATGTGATACTGCACTTTTGAACACATATAGACCAAAAAATGAGCGCCGAAATTTCGTTGTAGTATCCCTTTGTTGTGTATTTAATCTTTACATAATATATACATTACTGCATACAGCGGGCACAACCGACCGGGTTGGGGCCAGAGCAGTCGAACGTCTCGTGCCTGCGCGCGTGCACCAGTTCACCGGCATCCCTGGATATCCTCGGTTGCCAACACACAACATCCCTCCCCCCTAGGTCACATAGTCCTTTAGGTAGTCGGGACGTCGCCGTTGTCGCTGGGGACGATTTGACTGTTCTTGCGCAGGCGCTGAAGTTGGCAACACTGTTTAGTGCCTCGGTTCATGGGGTGAAGCAGGTGAACGTTGTGGGGAAGCTGGAGGGGTTGCCACTGGGGTTGACTTTTCAGGGAAGTCCGCTTGACTCGTAGATGGTGGGCACTCTTCCACCGATTCATTCCTAAGCGATGGCTCGCTTGGTAAGGAGAGCTGCTGAGGTGACAGCTCTGTCGTAGGCTCCTCCTCGTCCAGGTATGTGCTCCACTTC